CAATCCCAGGCAAAAAACACTAACAGTGTATTCCCAACCATTATCAACATATTAGAAGTTAATTATTTAAATACTAACAAACTCATATTCTCCTCCATATCAACATTATTGTTCTGAATAAGCACAAGCCATTTAGTATTAGTAGTGTCTAATCCACTTACATAGTGTAAATTGGTTCTACTAAGTTGTTTCAATAGGCTACAATTAATTTACTCAATGTAAAGATTGTTTATGTACTGATTATAAATACAAGTTTAATAAAAATCGCACATATTATACTTATTTGCAATAAAAAAAAAGAAAACCAAAAAAAAAACAGAGCTATTATCAAACAACGAATAGAGAAAAGAATGTCCTGAATGAAATATGATTCCAAAAAAATGATCAATACAATCCTGGGTGAACAAAGAATATGCATCACAATGAACAAACTAATAATCAAAACATTAGATATGAATGTCATTACAGATTCACAAGAAATTAAAAAGAAAGTAATATCACATTTTTCAAACTCCACAATAAAAACCAGAGATCTGGACAAAAAAATCTAAAGCAAATAGGAAAAAGAATATATACTATAATCAAACATTAATGCAACATGGTATAGTCCAATAACATAACTAATATTAACAGATAAAGTCAAAGCTACCATTATCAAAACAAAAGCAGAGTCAGCTCCTGGAAAATCCAAGCTCAACTATGCCATACTAAAACATATTGATAGTAAAGGAATCAAGAGAATTACGTTAACTTTCAATAGAATCTTGAAATTGACAGAATCTCAAAGCAGTGGAACAAAATCAATATCTACCTAATCCTCAAGAGAACAGATTGACAATATAATCTAAATTGTATAAGACCAATTGCATTGTTAGAAATAATTCAAAAAATATTCCCCAAAATTATCAACAAAATAAGTAACATACTAATAAAACACGAAATCCTCTCACTACTCAACTGGGCAGAACTTCCAAAAGAAGGCATACAAGAACCAATCCGCATTTTTAACAATGTATTGAAGGAGACGAGAGAGCTGGACAAGGAATGCTGGATCCTAAACCAGGATATTAGCAAAGCCTACAATTCAATAAACTCAAAGCTTCTAAGCAAGGCTCTATAGAGAATCAAAATTCCAACAACCATTAACAAAATCCTAGAAAATCTAACTAACAATAGAAAAAGAAAAGTCATCACATATTATGGTCTTATAGACAGTTTTAAACCAGTACAAGATATAGACCAAGGAGATATAATCTCACCTTTGCTATGGCATATTAACTATGATCTACTAATCAGCAGAGTAGAAAAAGGAAATATAGGATACAGGTTTTCAGTACAAAAACCCACAAACAATCCAAGTATATAGAGGAAACAAGAACATAGAATCTCATTAATAACATATGAATGACACAATCTGGCTAGCAAGTTATTGAGAGCACATCAACAAAATTATCAAAACCATAAAAAAATTTGCAAAGCTGGCTAATCTCAGAATCAATCCAGAAAAAGCAGTACTTCTTATAATAAATAATAAAGATACAGAAGACCTTCAATTCCAAAATCAAATAATAAAACTGATGGAATCTAAACAAGCCATAAGAATTCTTGGGATATGGATCCCAATAACAGATAGCAAAAAGTATTAGTACAAACTGATTAGACAAAAGATAAAAACAACAATACAAATCTTGAAAAGAGCTATAATTACAAACAAACAGTGCAGATATATTCTGAATAAGGTCATTATGCCAGTTATAAAATATATGCTACAAGACACATTTCTCTCAAATCTAGAGATCAACATCTTGGACAGTCAAATTAGATAAGCATTCAAATACAAAATTGGAGTCTCAAGTACTATCCCAAATAACAGCATATATGTTTATACAGGATCCAAACTATTCTGTATAAAAGACAGACAATTTATATTATATATCAAAAACTGGGTAACAAACCTAAATAAAAACAATCTGTATAGGACACTAACCAGAAGAAAACTGTAGCACCTACAAAATCAAACATGAACATCAAAATACATACTTCAGTCAGAAATGATAATTGACAAATCCAAGAAATGTCTAATAAGCCAAATCCTACAGATGCTCAAAGAGGAAGATATCATGGTAGAACAAAACTAAAACCATAGCCCAATACAAATGTATGATAATATAGGACTGCATATGATTAAAGATATTATGGGGCAAACATGGAGCAAGGAAAATATCAAAAACATTAGAAAGCACAATTTGATGTTTATTGAACAAATTATTAATGTCCAATAAACACATATGCTTAACTGGAAACAAATCAGAGCTGCTACAGAATATAAACTGATTGACAAATAGCCAAGATAGTTTACCAAGATTAGAAAAAAATACAGCCAACTAGATATATTAGAAAACAGGTACACAATCATATTGATGAACCTAACAAGACCCAATCCAATCTTTCAGCTAGAAGCAGTAAAAAGCTACAATATTCAAAAGCAAAGATACTTGGCATATATGATTAATCAACAAATACATATTGGAAGAATAACAGACAACAATGTGCAAGTACAATACATGCGACAAATAGAAGGAGACTTGCCTAAAGACAAGTATCAAGAGTATAACCATAGAGACAACACAAGAAAGGTGTGTATCAAAGAAATCAAAATAGACTAGGCAATAATTATTTCAGTAACTAAAACTGCATATAGTACAAAGCTCTATAGTCAAATCTTAGAACACCTGGACAGAATATAAACATCATTAAGTACAATGATATACAATATACAAAATTTGAAGAACAAAACACAAACCAAAATTAATGTTATAATTAGTAGAAAACAAATAGAAATAGAAAACAAAATCACAAAATATATACAAACCAGCAGCCTAAACAAAAAAGAACTAGTCAAAATAATTGAACAAATAGAAAGCTGGAAAAGAATAAAAGCATATACAGACAGCTCAATAATTCAGAAAGTAACCAACCGAATCAAGATAGGAGTGGAATAGCATATAACTAATTAAGAAACAGGAAAGAAAATTACATACTCAGGACATACAGAACATTTTCTATCATCAATGAGAGCAGAATTGATGGCAATTCTAACCATACTGGTCACAATTCCAGCACAAACAGAAGTCAAAATATGTATATACAGACAGTCAGATAATCATTCAAAGGATTTAAAAAGAAGACAAAGAAAGCTGCCAAATATATAAAAGTACAAATTGGATAACAAAAACTCTGATTAAAAGAATCATTAAAGAAAGACAAGAACAAATAACATTCATTAAAGTCAAAGTGTACTTTACTATAAAATTATAATTTTTTAACAAAAATTTAAATAATTTAAATAATTTAAAAAATTTTTAATTAATAAAAAATTCTAAAAAAAATTTTTTTATAATTTTATATATCTTTATTTAATAAATTCATATATTAAATTAATTGAAAAAAAATTTTATTATATATTTTTTATAATTGATTTAAAATAACATTTTTTAAAAAATTTTCTAAGTAAGTTTATTCTTTATATTTTCAAATATATATATACAAAATTTTATTTTATTTTATTAACTTTTCATTAAATTAATAATAAAAATATACAAGAATCTAATTTCGGTTTTTTTTTATTAGGACTATATATATTTAAAATTAACAAAAAAACAAATTAAAAAAATAAAAATTTTAATAAAATCATATATAAATTATATATAGTTTTTTTTATTTTATAACAGTATAATATGATATACAATATATAATTTATTGTAATTGTAATTTGTTATAATAATATAATAATTTAATGTGTTATAATATAACAATTTAGAATAATTTGAAATAATTTATTAATCTTTTTTAAATATAAATGAAAAATTTTAAAAATATATACGTATTTAAAGAGAATATATGTTTTGAAAGATAATTTATAAATGTTTTATGTATTTGAAATTAGGCTTGACCATGAATTTTTTAAAAAAATAAGTGCGTATATTTAGGAGTGATGCATTTACTAATAATAATTTCTTATACTAAATTTATTAAAATTATATAAATAACTTAAAATAATTGATGTACAATAATTATAAACTAAATAATGTAGATAAGCATAATCCCGGAGCAGAGCCCGGACCATTACTGAATAAGTTGATTACCGAAAACATTTATCTTTAAGATTATAATTAGTCTTATTATAGTAGAAAACAGAATACAACAGACTTTTCTAAATAAAATAATCACATCGTTTTTTAATTAATTGCAAATTTTAAGACTACTCTATTTGAAACTTAATAGGGCTTCTTTTTTGCGCAATTTATATTTATCAAATTCATGATGCATCTAGGGGAGTTTCGGAAATAGTTGCTTTCGAAATCGGCCGCCTGCCCGACTCCATATAGGAAAAAGATAACATATCAATGAACTATTGTGTTTAAGAGATAAAGCAAATCAGAACTGATAGAACCGAAACCAGAAATGAATCGTTCGAAAAGGTCGGATCATATTTCAAACTTGGCGATGTTCAATAACATCCCTTTCAGCTATATTTATATTATAACCTATTACATCGTTGATGTTTCTTGGTAGGATCTTTGCCGTTACCGGATACTAAATGGAGCTTAATCTGGAAAAGTCTAGTAGAGTTGACATTTGCGCATGGACGTGCAATCTAATGAAGTTATAGGCAATCCTTTGATATTCCGTAATTTCCGTAATTAAATATTTGACACAATATAATTGTTTAAATATGGAAAGCATCAGCCATTTACAATCAAAGCATGCAGTTAAACATTTTGTCATAATGAAGATGTTTGCATAAGTTCTTCGCATGATTTTATATATATAGTGCAAAAAATGGTTCGGTTTTTAACTCACTTGAAAGCGTTGTTGTTATTCTCGTTTTACTATCACTTTAGATTACGTAAACAACACAAGTTATTATATGATCTCAAATCGAATTAGGAATTGTCTTTTTGGAAAGTTCTCGTTAAAATTCTCACGCCATTTATAATATGTATATCGAAGAAGTATCGAAGATTGCAACACAACTTGGTGGATTTATATTATGTTTTGGATTAGTTTCGTATTTTGTCAAAGAACGACTACGTGTATCTGAAGCACGTAAGTCACGTGACAACTATTGTAATATAAATTGTCAATACGCGAAGCATATATAAACTCGCTTTTTATTTAGTGATATCGACGCTAGTGGGAATTATTTTGGGCCCAAAAGTGTTAAAAACACTTGATCCGACACTATGGGGGTCAACAGACGAACTTATACATGGATTTACTCGGATAGTTATCGCTATTCAGGCATGTTATTTATCGAACATATTTTAATTTTCTCATTATTTTTCTCATCATTATTTTTTTTTTTTATTGTAGGTCATGTTCTCCGGTGTGACGTTGCCTAAGTAAGCACATTTCCTGCCTGTTGATTTATGATATTTTTTAATTATAATTAACTGCTATTTTCTTTCATAAAACTTAAGAGCTTATCTAGTAAAAGAAAAGAAATCTTTAGCAGTTCTCTTAATACCCGTAATGAGTTGCATGTGGCTCACAAGCGGATTAGTAATTTATCTGTTTATACCTTCCATCACGTTTGTAAGTTGAGTCAATTTCATTATCTTGTTTAATGCTTTTTATCATAAGTTGCAGTGATTTTTACAATTGTATTATCCAAGGCCGAATCACTGGTTCTGGCTTCATGTGTAACTTCTACTGATCCCGTGAGTGTACAATCTTAATGTTTCAAATAATATATTTACTGTTGTGACAAATCTAACACATCAAAATCTTATAATGGATCTAGATCTTGGCTAATTCCGTAGTCAAAGGGAAGTTCGCAGAGGTAAGATTCTATAAAGACCTTTTTACCCTGGTTTCCTTAAATTGTAGACTCTTCATTACATCCTAAATTTATGCATTTGCAATTATTTAATGCAGAAACACGTTCCTCCACATATTCGAAATTTACTTTCTGCCGAAAGGTACTAGTGGACCTCATTTTATGGTTACTTTTTCTAATCAGATAATTCAAACTTGTTACTAAAATGTATTTTCGAAAACTTACATAGTGGTGTAACCGATGGTAATTTCAAACTAATAATTAAATATAAGTCCTTATATAATGCTGATTTGCACTACATTACAAAAGGAATGGCGGAACAGTTTTTGTACCTTTCAATATATCTTATGGATCTACCCTTTGGTCAGGCGATTGGACAATGGATTCTGATTCCAATTCTATATAAAATTGGATTGTCTATTGTTATTGGAATTTTTACAGTAAGGATTATTCATGTTTTACCAGTCAAATAATGTATTTATTTAAATCTGACCTTTCATTATAGGGATATATCGCACGAAAATTGTTGTATCTGTCGGAAAAAAAGTACGCTTATTACATTTCCAAGAGTTATCATTCGAAATCCTCCGAATAACATGATTAATTAACTTAAAATTACTATAGCCGATTAATAGACAAAGAATCCTTTTTAGTATTTGCCATAGCGTTAGCCGTAAGTAAATTCATCACGCGTAAGCAATATTTAACTGAATGGCTCAACGTGAATCGCACGCTTTCTTCTATTTGATACAGTTGTTTCTAACGGGGTTTGTGTCGATTGTTGGCGGTAGCGATTTACTGGCATGTTTCATAGCTGGAACCTCTTTTACTTGGGAGTAAGTATTACATGTTATTTTAATTTTTGTCTTTACTTTCTGTTCTCACCTTTTTACATTCATTTCACAGCGATTGGTTTCGGAGAGAGACCGAAGAAGCTCACCTACAAGAAGTTATCGACATGCTGCTCAACCTGGCTGTATTTGCGCTCATAGGGTCTTTAATTCCATGGAAATCATTCGTTGATGTCATTGTATGGTGGAGATTATTGATACTTTCGATAATAATATTGGTGTTTAGAAGGATGCCAGCGGTATTTGTGCTTTCGAAGATGAATTTAATACCAGCTGTTAAGACTTATCGTGAAGGTGAGTAATGAATGAGGGGTGTGGTAAAAGAAAAGACTGGTGGCATTTGTTGAATTTTTGAAGCCGATATTGGAAATAAGACAATTTCTTTATTTCTCACATATCTAATCATTTTCTTCATATAAAAAAACAAAGTATTATTCACTGGATGGTTCGGTAAGTATCAGATGTGTTCATTTCGGAATATAAACAAATTTCATTATTTCATCTTAACTATTTATTTACATCACACATCTTCAGGACCCATCGGTGTTGGTAAATATTATCATTGATCTTCATATTTCTTTTGAAATAATTATATATAGTTGTTTATCTTGAATTATTTTTTCTTGTGGTGATTAAAGGCGCGATATACTGCTCGACTCTTGCCAAACTTGAATTAGATAGCGGTGATTCACACAAAGCCCTTAGTAATATTGTTCTTCCAGGTATTTATCGGTTCATTATAAAATTTTTTATTATATATATTAATTAATTATTTATTTTTTAACCAAAAAATTCTTTATTTTATATATTTACTTTTGAACTAAAAAATTCTTTAAAGTCGTGTTTTTCTTGGTGTTTAGCTCCATTATGGTTCACGGAATTACAATTCGTAAGCATTTTTTTTTAAAAAAAAATAGAACATTTAATTGCCAGCGCATTTGTTAATTTGGTTTGATTTTTACAGCGCTAGTTATGATTTCAAAAAGGTAAAGCATCTATAGGTAACTTAATCGGCTTATTTTCCCGACTAATATAAACATAAAACTTCTTATTCAAATTTAGGATCAACACTCGTACATTCACAGCTGGTTCCGTATACAATCAAGTTTCACGACTACCGGTGATCCGAATTGGTCAAGATGTATTTTTTACAACAGATGATAAGGGAAATATTCTACCATCTGTCTTTCCTCAAAA